ACAAGAGGATATACACAGACTCTCAGACTGAACAGTGGAAAGGTGAATGGGATTACACCCATGAATATGAGGATAAGTCAGTTGTTGTTGTTGTTAGGTGTCGCCAAGTCTGTTTCAACCCATAGCAAACCTGGGCAGGGTTCCCAAGGAGTAGCTAATGAGTTTGAACCGCTGACCTTAAGGTTCAGACCGACTTTGTAGTCCAGCGCATTAGCCCACAGTGCTACACCAAGTCATCTTAAATACTACAAAATCTTAGAAACCTTTATTAAGCAAAAATCTCAAAATGTGAAGCTATAGTTTCTCAGGCTACTCTCTATCTAGGTCTATAATACATTTCTGAGGGCAGTGTTTCCATTTCTATCCCTTTCTTCAAGTATTCTGTCGTGTTCAATTTGTACCATATCAAAACAGCAGTTTGAATATCCTCAAAACTCAAATCGTGTTTCTTTAAAATGTTCTTTGAGTTTGGGGAACAAAAAGTCTGAAGTGCTAATTTCTTAGTGAAATTCTCATAGGACAGATCTTGTTACCCTCAAAGAATATGTAGGTACATTTTCATGATAACCAGAAAAGGCCAGCATAGAAAAGACCCACGTACTAATTGCTGTTGTTGTTGTTAAGTGCCGTTGAGTCAGTTCTAACCAATGGCGACTCTGTATAGAGTTTCAGAGGAGCAGCTGGTGAGCTTGAACCGCCAGCCTTGCCATCCAAACAGATTTTGCAGTCCAGCTCATTAACCCACAGTGCCACACCAGAACATACTGATCAGGGTTAGCAAATATCCACGTGTCCACTTTTCTTGTGTGCGTTTATCACAGTGGGGTTTCTTCTGTGTGGGCTTTTTTAATATGCACTTTTTCCCTAGAATCCATTTTCGTGATGGAAAGCAAAATTCCTCGGCTCAACTTCCCTGGCCTTTTCCTCACCATTGCAGTTTTCATTTTCTTAAAACTAATTTATAGTAAGCTCCCTACATTGTCTCTGTCCTTTAGGGAAATCTATCAAGATTGCCCCTCTGGAATCCCAAGAAGCAATCACCTTAAGCTGCTGAGCTGATCTCTCAGCCTGAGATTTAACTGGCTAAACAGATCCCCCTCAGGAACCACTGGTTGTTGTTTTTTGTTTTTTTTAAGACACCTAATAATTCTAGGAAGGAGCTCTGGTAGCATAGTGGTTATGAATCAGGCTGCGAACTGCAAGGTCAGCAGTTCAAAACTACCAGCTGTTCCGTGGGAGAAAGATGAGGCTTTCTGTTCCTGTAAAGATAACCTGTACAGGGTCACTATGAGTCAGAACCAACTCCACGGCACATAACAACAACAATAATTCTAGGAGTTCTGGTGTGGCACTGCAGGTTAATGCATTTCAAAATAGTGTTGAGGCTCTATCCTGCAGACCAGCAAGCAATGACTGACGCAAGGAGCAATCAGATGTGAACTGGCTTGAATGCCTCTAATAGGGCAAAAGATAAATAATTTTTTTTTCAGTATTTTAACCTTTTTTCTTGGCTAAAAAGTATTTCGTTTTGAAGTTTAAAGAATGTTGATAGTCTGGAGAAAGTACACTAGTTGTGGTGGTGTGTTAATACAGATAAATAACAAAACAAAATGATAGTGGCAAGTAAACAGACAAATTTTTAACACTTTGCACAAACTGACAAGTCAGAACTAAAAGGCAAATTACTCATTAATTCAATAGTAATTACTAGGTGTCTCAGTATACCATGTTCAGGAAAGCTGACATATGAGTGTCTGACAAGCTTTCAGAATGGAGACCTGGTGATGCAGTGGTTAAGCACTCAGCTGCTAACCCAGAGGGTAGTGGTTCTAGCCTATCAGCTGCTCCTGGGGAGAAAGCTATGACATACTGCTGCTGTAAGGATTACAGCCTAGGAAGGTTTATGCTGCACGATAATAGGAGTCCTGGTGTGACGCTGTGGGTTAATGAGCCAGACTGCAAAGCTGCTTGAACTACAAGGTCGGTGGTTCAAGCTCACTAGTTGCTCCTTGGAAACCCTATGCAGGGTCGCTATGGGTCAGAACCGACTCAACGGCAACTTAACAACAACAACATAGTATGAGGAATCCTGGTGTGGTGCTGTGGGCTAATGCGCTGGACTCCAAAGTTGGTTTGAACCACAAGGTTGGCGGTTCAAGCTCACCAACTGCTCCATGGAAACCTTATACAGGGTTCCAAGAGTTGGAATTGATACAACAGAACTCAACAACAACATAGTAGTAGGGTTGCTGAGTTGGAATCTACTTGATGGCAAGGTATTCAGAGGTTTAAGAAAACAGTTTACGTTTCAAATGATTTGACAAATCCCTTTGTCTCATATACTGTTGTTAAATGCTGTCAAGTTGGTTCTGACTCTTAGCGACCCTATGTAGGATTTCTGAGGAGCAGCTAGTGAACTTGAACCTCCAACCTTGTGGTTCAAACCAACCTGCAGTCCAGCACACCAACCCGCAGTGCCACACCAGGACTCCTTGACTCATATATGGTGGTGGTGTGCCATGGAGTTGATTCCGACTCATAGCCACCCTCCATACAGTTTCCAAGGCTGTAAATCTTTATGGGAGCAGAAAGCCTCATCTTTCTCCCGCAGAACAGCTGGTAGTTTCGACCTTCAGGTTAGCAGCCCGACGCGTAATCACTACACTTCCAGAGCTCATTCCTTGACTTATACATGTTGTTGTTGTTGTTAAGTGCCGTCAAGTCAATTCTGGCCCATAGCGACCCTGTATAGGGTTTCCAAGGACCAGCTGGTGAGCTTAACCACCAACCTTGCAGTTCAAATGACTTTGCAGTCTGATACATTAGCCCACAGCGCCACACCAGGATATAAGTATATTAAAATTATGCATTGTCATCTTTGCAAGTTCATTGTTAATTTAACATACATCATAAATAACAATGACTAAAGCTAGTGAATAGCTTGTAGAAAAGTTTGTTTAAGAGTCATTTCTAGACTAAAAGTACATATCTGTGAACATAGAGTAATATCTGTATATAATTTAATATCTTTAAAACAAATCTTTAGAGTATCTTTAAAAACAAAAAGAAGTATTTAAAGCCTCTCTAGGAAGGCAATCCTCTGGAGCCTGGTGTAGCACCATAGGATTAAGCATTTGGTCACTTTGAACTATAAGGTTGGTGGTTCAAACTCACCAGCTGCTCCTCAGAAACCTTTTGCAGGGTTGCTGTGAGTCAGAACAGACTCAGTGACACTCAAAACAACAACTCTTAACTAAAAGGTTGGTGGTTTGAACCCACCAGCTGCTCCACAGGGGTAAGATGAAATAATCTGCTTATGTAAACATTACAGCCAGGGAAACACTGAGGAGCAATTCTGTCTTCTGTAGGGTGTCAATGAGTTGGAATTTACTTTAACAGCTTTGGTTTGTGGGGTTTTTCAGAGAGGCAGGAGAGTAAAATTTTTAAGAATAGGAATCCCGGTGTCAGACTTCTGAATTCAAATCCCAGCTTTTTAGTGTAACACTACATAGTTAGTGGGATTGAAACTGTGTATATAGAACTTTGCAAATTAGCATTTTGAGATAATTGAGAGTAATCATAAAACTTCAGTTGGTCAGCATACAGCAGTGCATGTCTTGAGGAGACCTGCTCTTGGTATCAGAAGCTTTTTATTTCTTGTGTACAGCTTACTGCTTTCTATTGTAGTAGACTGCTTCTCGGGATGGGACGGGCTCTCTCCTTGAGAGGTGCACAGTGAGAGACACTTACAATGAAGGTGGATCCCCAGAATGTGTTGTGTTTAACGTTGTAAGTGTAAACTTATGTGAAAATTAAAATGTCTTGTTGGAGAGGAACATTACCAAACTGTAATTTCCAGGTGACAAGCTGCACATTCAGTTCACTTATAACACATTTAGGTTTTATTGTTGGTTGGTTTGAAAAACAGAAATTTGATGCTTAAAGTTTTGCATCACTTTCTCTTCAAAAATGCATAGGATGAATAATTCACTAATTTGTTGGTAAGTGCCATCAAGTCAGTTCCAAGTCATACTTAAGGTTTCCCAAGAGTGGCTGGTGGGTTTGAACTACCAAACCAACCTGCGGTTCAGTGCTTATGCTATAGCACCACACCAGGACTCCATTTACTTGTTTGTTGTTGTTGTTAAGTGTTGTCAAGTCAGTTCCGACCCATAGCAACCCTGTATAGGATTTCTGAGGAAGAGGTGGTAAGCTTGAACTGCCGACCTTGCAGTTCAAACCAGCTATGCAGTCTAACACATTAACCCACATGCCACACCAGGCCTCCATTTACTGGTTTAACACATAGAAAAGTGCCTTTTATACTGTAAGTGTTCAATCAGTGTTATCTTTTAATGCTATCAAAGTCGTTAATAATCATTTTCTTCCAATTTAAACATAAACTGTAATTGGACCAGTTTGATTTTTTTGTTGTTGCACTTGACACTTAAATTTAGTAACAATTTTTCATCTTCCATGCTAACACAGGAAATCTGGTAACTCTGAACGATAAGTACTAGAGGATGAACCACAAGGTTGGCAGTTCAAGCCCACTAGCTGCTGCTCTGGGGACTGATGAGGCTTTCTGCTCCCACAAAGGTGTACAGCCTGGGAAAGTCTATACAAGGTCACCGTGAGTCAGAACTAACTTCAGTGGTACTGAACAACAACAGAACTAAGGCAATCAGTTATATCCTGCCTCCTCATACAAAGAATCCAAGGCAGTTTACAACCCCAAACAAAAGCTTGTTAATAAATTATTAATAGCATGCCAGAGTTCTGAAGTTTGTTTTTAAGTAGGTAGCACTTGTAAATATATGTATACAAATTAGTTTCTTAGTATCATTTAGAAAAAATAACCATGTGGGGAAAAAAAATCTAATTGAAAAAACAATGGTATGTTCATATATTCTGTCTAAAAACAATTCGTTGTATTTTAAGTTGTGGCGGAACTAATTCTCTAGAAATTCATGAGATTTCATCTTCACTAATAGGAGAAAATGGCTTTGAAACAACTGTCCAGCAACAAGTGCTTCGGAGGCCTACAGAAAGTGTTTGAACATGACAGGTAACAATTTTATGTTTTATGTATCTCTGTATTGTTGTTGTTGTTTGTCTTTTATTTCAAAGTGAATATATGTTATGGTACCTCAGTGTACTTTTAAACCTATTTATTCGCTCTGTCTAGTTACCTGACAATTTCCACTAACTTAATTGACTGAAAGATTTGACTGTGTGAGTTAAAGAGAAGTACCCAAGGGACTTCGCAAAGTTTCCAGAAAAATTACAGAATGGTTTAATAACATTTTCCACACACTTTTCGAAGCCCCCTGGTATCTTTTAAGCCTAAACAGAAGGAGATTCAGGCTTTGACTTTACATGACTCAGAAACTTTGTAGAAACTTTGTTGTAAGTAGATAAGGCACCTGGACATGGTATTGTCTCTGCTGCCTGCCAGAGTCTGACTAAAGGAATTAAATACACCAGCACGATTGTGGTTGTCCACAGTTTAAAAAAGAAGCCGGGGAGGGGAGCTAGGAACAGTCTTTTAGAAATAAGAATGCAGATGGAGGAGCAGTGCCCGACTTCACAGAACTTTGAGAGCTAAATAAATCCTAAGCAGCAGCAGGGAGAAACTGAGAAGTAACATGATATAATAAAGCCTTTACTACACATATTCCAAGGAGGCTCTGGTAGCGTAGTGGTTACAAGTTGGGCTGCTGACCTCAAGGTCCGCAGTTCAAAACTACCAGCTGTTCCGCAGGAGACATCTACCATGTCATTGTGGTCACCTCTATTTTGAGGAGGCAGCTCTAACCTAGTCATATTTTAAGTTCTTTCCAGCCTGAGGTGCTCATCATTTAAAGTTATATCAGATAATAGCCCTCTCTTACCCTGCATGAATAATTTATTTTAGAAAGATCAGTGTATGGCTGGTCCCTGTGAGTTGGAGGTTAAAGATATCCCAACTGTTCACCCTTCCTGACGTGCTGTACCACTCCATAGTCCCTGACCTCAGTCACCACTCCTCCCTGCCCTCAAGTTTCAGAGTTCTGTAACATCTCACAAAACTCACAGGTATCAAGAGAAATGCTCCACTCAACTGTGGAGGCTGGCAAGTCCCAAGTTCAGAGATCAGTTTGCAGAAATCTTCTCACCTCTGTAGTCTCAGGAACTAAGGAAGCCAAATCGGGAGGTCAGATGACAGGCTGTGGATGCACGAGGCCGCAGGAGCTGGTGAATCAGGTCAGGTGATGAGCCGAAAGTCCCACAAACTGGAGGTCAGACAGAATGAGCCAGAGGCAAGATCTAGGGCAAGAGAGTGAATTTGTCCAGAGAAGTCTTATAAACGCTTACTTCCACTGTAATCTTTGTTCCTTGTTGTTGTTGCTAAGTGCCCTTGAGTCAGTTCTGACCCATAACAACCCTGTGTAGGGTTTCTAAGGAGCAGCTGATGAGCTGGAACTGCTGACCTTGGAGTTCATATGACTTTGCAGTCCAGCGCATTAACCCACAACACCACACCAGGACTCCCTTTTCCTTTGTACCGTTGTTAAGTTCTGTCTTACAATGAATTTGTCTAAAGCAGTCTTGCAAATTCTTAGTTCCATTGTAATCTTTACTCCTTGTTGTTAAGTGCCGTCAAGTCATTTCCGATCCATGGTTTCTGAGGAATGTCTGATGAGTTTGAATCACCAACCTTGCAGTTCAAACTGACGTTGCAGTTCAGCACATGAACCCACAATGCCACACTGGTTCATTTCAGAATGGGTCCATAATCACAGACATTGTTGTTATGCTGTTAAGTGTCATTGAGTCAGCTCTGATTTATAGTGACCCTGCCTGTATAGGGTTTCCTAGGAGCAACTGGTGGGTTTGAATTGCCGACCTTGTGATTAGCCGTTCAGTGCTTATCCTACAGCAGTACACTGGGAGTCCAATCACAGGCATAGCAGCTAGGATTTACAATATATCACACAATGGAAAATTTGACTAGAAGGACCATGATAAATCATTAGCTTCCCTGCATCTTCATTCGATTTTCAGTGGTCATTATTCTAGAAGTAGATCACTAGATTCTTCTTGTAGTCGGCTGTAATCTGGAAGCTCTATTGAAAACTCCCTGGTGGTTGACCCTGCTAGCATTGGAAATTCTGGTGGCATAGCTTCCAGCATCACAGCAACATACAAACCATAACAGTACCACGAACTGGAAGACAGACATGTTCCTTAGAAACCAGGAATGATAAGACTTCATCTCGTGTACTTTGGACATGTTATTCAGGAAGAATCCGTCTCTGGACAAAGACAGCATTCCTGGTAAAGCCAAGGGGCAGCAAAAAAAGAGCAAGACCCTCAGCAAGATGGATTGGCACAGTGGCTGCAACAGTGGGCCCACACGTAGAGGTGATTGTGAGGATAGCGCAGGGCTGAGCCATGCTTTGGTCTGTTGTACACAGAGTCACAGTGAGCTGTGAAAATGGTTTTTGTACACAGTCGTGGTGAGTTGTAAGAAGGGTACAGGGCTGGGCCGTGTTTTGGTCTGTTGTACATGGGGTCACTATGAGTTGTAAGGATGGCACAGGACCAGGCAGTGTTGCCTGTGGTACATGGGGTCACAGTGAGTAGACCAAGCCAGCAGCACCTAACAGCAATATGTAAAGCCTTAGAAAGAGGAGCTACCAGAGACACCTAGGAGTAAGGATAAAAACAGACTTAATAAAAAGGAAGATTTGTTGAAATCAGTTGTTTAAAGGAGCAGATAGACCCTAGTTGCCTCGGTTCTCTGTGCCTCTCTGAGGCCACTGCCTGTCACCAACTCTGGCAAAATGTTCCAGGTTCACTCTCTAGGAAGGTAAAACAAAGTGTCTATAAAAGAGAATGCCAGGTTCAATTGGGGGGAGTAAAATCACACTGCAGTTAGGGACGTTAAGAGAAAATTTGCATGTTGACTATTGAAACTTCCTAATGCTCCTCAGCTTCCAGAATTCAGAGAGTTAGGGAAATATCCTAGGTTCCTTAGAGGAGCAAAAGCAGTGAAGCATAGAGAGAGAGATTTTAAAGGAAGTAGCTCACATAACTGTGGAGACTGACACTTCCCAACTCTTTCTGTCAGGCAGCAGTCTTGAGGCTTTTCCTGACTTACATGGTTGCTGGGACTGAAATGCGCAAATCTGGTTCAGGCTAAAGGCTGCTGACTCACAGGGTGGAAGGAGCTGGTAGGTCCCCGAGCTGCAGGCTGCTGGCTCACACCCCAAGAACCAGAAGACAGGATGACAGAGTGACTACAGGATTGAGAACATCCATACGTATCAGATGCAGGCCACACTTGATTGGCTACTCATGTCAGATCATACAATGAAGGATGATTACATACTATCTGTCAAACCACTGAGAATCATGACCTAGAAATTGACATAGAACTGTAACCAATCATAAGTCTCCTAAAGACTCATCTTGGAGGTAATGCGACTAGCACCAAAAAAGAGAGACCTTAAGATACTGGTATTAAGTGTTCCAACAAAACGGTCCAGCCAGAGCCTGCTCCACAGTAAAACCACGATTGACAGCTCCACGTCCATTTACAGCCTGGTTATTAATGCCTCACTCTTAATAGAAGACAGCTGAAGATCTCTAACCATTTGTGTGAAGCCTCTAATACAAAAGACAGACTTCAAAAAGAAATTTTGAGGAAATGGACCTGGCAGAGGGAAAACATCCTAAGTAGTTCTGCTGATGTCAGAGCCGTAGCAGCTGTTATTACCTCATGACGTCAGTGGAAGATGCCATGAAAAATATTCAAGAGCAAAAAAGGAGCCTAGCAATTTAAATCTGAACAAGACTTGGTAGACCAGCTACTTAATATAAAGTTGAATGGTTGAGAAGTTAGAAGGAGACAAAAATAGAAAATGAGAGAGGATGAGCAAACATAAGGAACAGTCCAAGAATCCAACATTTAATTATTAGGAGTTTTGAAAAGTAAAACAGAAATGTTGTTGTTAAGTGCCGTCAAGTTGGGTCTCACCCATAGTGACCCTGGATAGGGTTTCCGAGGAGCAGCTGGTGAGC